AATATGTGTCTATCCTCATTCAACGCGTCTATGTGTCCGGCACTCCAACATCACTCAACCCGTGGGGTTCCAGCAGCTATCCCCACGCAACCCGTCTATGTGTCTGGCAATCTCAAACCTCCCCTTTCCGTGGGGTTTCAGTATACAGCTATAATCACTCAACACGTCTATGTGTCCGGCAATCTCCTACATCACTCAACCTGTGAGGTTTTCGTAAGCAATCCTCACTCCACGCATCCATGCGTCACGCGTCTTTGGTAGCGCATACTATGGGGGCTATATTTGGGGTGGCGTGTTTTACAGCGCTTTGCCAACAGCGCCAACCCACTGAAGTCTAGATTGCGAGGAGGTGCGAAGTAAGGGGGGTGTAAAAAGGGTGTTTGCCCGACACGAAATATGGTACCCCAGGCCTTATATACTGACATGTGGTGCCCACATACCCCCCCGGATACGAGCGAGCGGGCAGCTCAGCATCGTAGACAAACACGCAGGTACCACGACGCACCCCCCGTAGCATGTACGGTAACCGGACCCCGACCGGCTGGCGGCGGATAAAAAAACCATTTTCACGTGCCCGGTTTCGAACCCGGGACTTTGGCGTTGTAGGGATGACATATTGCCGCTGACGCCACTTTAAAAAGGGTGTTTACCCGACACGGGTGTGCCCCAAGCCTTATATACTGACATGTGGTGCCCACAGGGGCTTCTATATATATATTTATATTTCTCCCATCATTGGACTCTATCGTCTGCCCCTCTGGCCCCTATCCTCCACTTCTACTAGCTAGACGACACAACCGGGGTCACATAGGAGGGGGGGGCTGGACCCCCTCTGGCGGTTCTTGCCTGAGGTATTTTTATCGCGAGAAGGGTACAGCAATCCCTTCCGTCGCGACTTACGAAGTCGATTATGGTTTACTAACAACGAGCTTTGCAACGCATCGCTTTCATCCTAGACCAGGATTTACTTAGTGAGAAAAAAACTCACTCTGCCTGGACTCGAACCCATGACCTGGCCCTTAGCAGGCTGCGAGGTTACCCACTATATGTATACATACATGGCGCTTTTTCCCGAAGGTTTGGAATATTTCTTACGTCGGAACTTCGCAAAGCAAGTTCGAAGGCAACAAAAAATGGAAATTCCGAAATTTCCAACGGAAGCTACAAACGGTTCAAGATTTTCGGGGCCCTACTCACTTCCAAGTTTTTGATATTCTTCTCAAGTTTCCTATGACTTCCAATTTTTCGGAAAATCAGCCATGTACGACACGCCCCTGAGAGGGAGGGGTGGCTTCGATATCTCGCTCAATTGATACCGTCCGGGTGTGTCCTCTATACTGAAAAAAAATTGAGACGCAAACATTATATAAGTACAATCTAGCAAGCGGAACAGGGAGAGTACATGCTGTAACTCACGGCATCTGGGAGTTGAGCCAAGCGGGCCACGTTGATCCCGAAACTCTTGGGGCAAGGGCCGGGGGCGAGCTTGTAGAGGAAGGTTACTCTCTGCTCTCCCCCATTGTCCTCTACCAAGCATGACATGTGTCCCAATGCCACCTGCGAACGAGAGTGATAATTGACATCAGTCTCATGACACAACCATCTGCTTGCGTTGCGCATTGATTTTCCTGTTCTGATGTCATGGTCAAGGTAGCAGAAGAAAACTCCACACCCTCGACACGCTCGCAACACAGGTCAGCAAGCACTGAGGCTAGGGCAGCCAGCGCACGTTTACACCTTATTTAGTATCGCAAGACAGAGCTTGCCAGAGCTGCTTGCCGTGTAAAACACAGGCATGTCTTGTACTGTACCTCGCTGTGATGACCCCAGTCTTCCACCAAAGAGTGATAGTGCGTCGCGAACATTGCCAAGCACTTCGCACTCTTCACCAGGTAGTGGGCGACAGCGTGAGCGATAGCTGTACCGTCGAATGTCGAGGTACCTCTCCCTGGACATCGACAAACATCGGCGGAAAATCAGTTGTCACGCGCAGGTCTCTCAAGGACTAAAAAACAAGCGACGGTGAGAAGAACGTTGCTCGTGGAGCCCTGGAATATGTCAAGGCAGCATGGGCCGCGTTGTGTCCCTACGGAACGCAGTAGTTGAGCGAGCCTGTGCTCACCCAATTCGTCAAGAATAACGAGGCTTCTGCTCGTGGCGTGGTGAAGAATGTTCGCAGTCTCGCTGAGCTCCACAAAGAAGGTCGACTGTCCGGCCAGGATACGGTCTGATGCTCCAACCCTCGTGAAAATCCTGTCGAGAGGCGTGAGGTGCGCCTCGTCCGCGGGAACAAAGCAGCCCACCTGCCCGAAAAAAAATAGCGAGATGACGACGAATTCTTCTTGCACTCAGCAGGTGATGAGGTATCGAGGTCCTCGACAGGGTGCAGACGGCACAAGGGAAAAACGAAAAATTCACTTTGTGGCGCCTCTTTGGGTCTTCACCTGTGCAAGGATAGCGACGAGGCAGGTCTGCCGAAGAAGGGTGGACTTCCCCCCCATGTTTGGTCCGGTGAGCAAGAGCATATTTGGCGCAGCTGGCGCATCATCGGAGATCCCCGCTGGTGCCGCCCCAAGAGTGGCGTCGTTTGGGATATACTCGCCGCCTTGATAGGTTTGCGCCAGGCACGGGTGCCGCGCATTCTTGAGGCGGATGAAGGACGGCGTCGAGGCTCCGTCGTGGAACTGTGGCCTCGAGAACCCCGGCTGGGCGGACACCTCCGCCAGAGAGAGAACGGCATCCAAGTGCGACAGGCATCGCACCGCACTTGCCCAGAGCTCCCTGTGCTCATCAAACTTGGCGAACAAACCTCGCATCTGGCCGAGGAAAACGACCGCACATGACGGAGAGTGAGCCCAAGGTCGGAAACCAATCCGCAAGGCAACGTGCATCGAAGGGGATTCGAAAAACGAGAGCAACTCACGATCGGCCGCATGTGGTCTACAAGCACGCCATGCACTGATCACGTGGGAAAAAAAAAAAAAACTATGCATCTATACATGGCGTCTGCTCTCGGAAAAAAGTAACACGACTCCGCGCGAACCTGGTCTCTCTGGGCATCGCCAAGTCGCTGCTCTGCAGCAGCAAGCTGTTCAAGATGATCCTTAATGAAGGGTGTCCAGAACCTCAAGGCGCCTTTCTTCTTGCTCTTGAGCTCGTAGTCTGACGGCTACACAGAGAAAAAACAAAACAGCCAACAACGAATCGACTGCGTGAAAAATTGTCGATTCACTCAATTTTTCAGGTTCGACTACCGACTCGCACAAGCGATCACTAATGGCCAGATTAACTAGTAGTGCTTAAAACAATAGGAAATACGTTTACGGGAGAGAACAATAGATGTATACCGACGTCAGCCGACCCGCTCGGAATCCTCTGCATTAGTCTTTCAGACAATAAAATCTGTGATTTGGCAAGAGCTGTTTCGTGCGCTCACACGGTGCTCAATTGCAAGCTGACTGGATCGATTTCAAAAAACGTATCAGTATCCGTCGCGAGCATTTCGAAACAGAATCCCATCGTAGATTCAGCACGCAAGGAGAAAGGAAATACCCCGAGAACGGAAGCGATAAGAATGGGGGTTCACCAGCTGAACTTCGACTTCGCCAAATCCGGTTTGGGAATTTGGGAACAGGTAACAACCATACTATCGTTCGCGCGAAAGAAGGTTCACGTGTCCGTCCTGCCGCATGGCCAAAGTCATAACGAACACCAACATACATCCTTGTCTCTCCACGAGCGTGAGGTAATGAAATACCGCAAACACATACCTGACGATTCTTGGACAAGTAACTCTCCGGCACTTGGATCTGGTACTTCTCCTTGGCGCTGTGCCAGTATTCCGCGTCGGAGCAACCGAGGCGCTTGCGCTGTTCCCGGAGGTGTCCGTCCAACTCAGACTTGATATCTTTTATGTTGATCTGCGCCAAAACAGGCCAAACGAAGTACTGCAAATGAAACAAAACTACCGCCCGCGCGGCTTTGCACGTACACAAAACCATGTCGAAAAACTACAAGACACCCGAAGTCCGGTGTCTTCCTAACCTCTCGTCGATTCCTAATTGCCACCCACCACAGTTGAACCAAATCGCCCACCTTAATCTTGTCGAAGTCTTCGTCGACCCCGGGCTTGAGCTCAATGAGTCCCTTCTTCTTCGACGTGCCGGCATCAAAGGCGTTTCGGAAGTACGAAATGGCTGAAGACATGTGCGGGAACTGTCCACCCTTAGATTTGGAGATGACACACTTGCGCAAGAGGGCGCTCTCCACCGTGGCTGACTTGAAGATCTCGGGCAAACCGTCCGCTTTCTCCAACCCATCCAGGACACTGAGAAAGTCGTTCACCTGCAAATGCCAGAAGTGCCTCTTCTTTCAGCAACGATGGAAACAACCTACGCTACAGAACGGGCACATCATCCCAGCGATGGCAACAGTTGCAGGAAGTGTAGGAAGGAGAAACAGCGATACCGCACCTTGCGGATGGAGTACTTGGTGTCTTCGTACATGATGGCCCGGCTCTCTGGGTGCTCGCTGCTCCTGTGCTTGGAGGCCATTGAGTGCACGCGCGTTAGCAGCCGTTCCACGTCCGGCAGCTTCTTCAACAGGGCTCGCGAGGCGTCAGCTTCGGGAGAGAGGTCGCCTGCAAGCTCCGAAACCGCGTCCAGACGACCATTGATGTGCCTGTCGCCATTGAAACGGCAGGAATGAGGCCTCCGTTTCTCATGGATGATTCTCATGGATGGTTGAACAGCTACTACAGGTGCGTCTAACAGCTCAGGGGAGGAAAGCCGTCAACAAGCACAGGCACAGCGGTTGCAAGCCAACAGAAACCGAGGAGTAGCACAAAAATACCAAACAGCTATCTGCCTCACGTTGGAATAAGAAGCGGCTTGAGCACCCAGTCCTTGAGCAAACGCCTCCCGAATGCTGTGCTGCACCGGTTGACGAAAGCCCACAGACTTCCCTTTTCCCCACCGTCACTGCTGTTGCGCAGCACCTCGAGGTTTGACAAAGAGACCCCATCAAGCACCATGTGCGATTGAGAGGGGGTCTGTACGCTGCTCCCTGGTAGTGGAGAAGCGCTCGCAAGATCACCCGCCTCTTGGCTATCGTTCGGGGTGCTGGGCGCAGCGTTGGAGTCAGGTTGTTTCATGTCGGAGGGGATGTACGCCACAAAGCGTCGCATGGACAACAGATCGTGGTCAATGAGAGCTCGTCGAGTGTGCCACGTGGCACCTCCTAAAGCCGATAGGGCCAAGGCGCCATCCTTTCCACCTTCAACAACAGCACGAAGGATTGGTGGCCAGTCCTCGACGTTACTGCCCTTCCCATCGCCGGCGCTGCTCTTCTCTTTCGCGTTGCTCTCGTTGCGGAAGTACCGGTGGTTCTTTAGCTCTTTCACCGTCCGGGAAGCATCCCAAAACTCAGTCCCTTTGTGCAAGGTCATGTGCGATGCCAGCGGGGCCATGCACTTGATCATGTGAAGGGTAGTCTCCGACAAGTTGTCCTGGGAATGAGCGCCGAATAAAATAGAAGTGAGCATCCCTATCGACACAACCTCACCAAGTCAAATGACTTGTTGGACCGTTCGAGACTGCGATCGAAGTTCGACACGAAATCAGGTTGGTAAGGTACATATCACAAGTCTGAGCATGCCGAATCAAGTACACTAGTCTACACCAGTTGGGATGTTGTGCGCATATCGAGCCATGCCGGAGATATCTTACGACACATCGCATGCGGCCTTCGGATACCGACCGGATTGCGAGCCTTGCTCATGGCCTAGCTACTGTTGTCCTTGGTCCACACCCAGTTGAAGCGGAGAAGCGCGACCACGTGTGCATGTCGGGGTCATATTAGTGCACTGAAACCTCGCATGACCCTCACCTTTTCCATCACAATCTCAACCGGCAGCTGCTGCGCAAGAAGGGTTCGAAGGCGTGAGCGCGCGGGGTCATCAGCGAACTGGCCCAGGCTAAACGTTGCCGTCATTGCATCCACCATGCAAACACCATATTCGCATACGGCTGCCGGTGGGCCGTCTGCATCGGCCGAACCTGGGCTTCCTGGGCCACCACCCTCACTCAACGCGTCCACCGCGGTTTCCTAGAATAAACAAGACGGACACGCGGTTAATGCGATGTTGGTACGTCTAGCTGCCCCGGACGTAGAAATTCTCAAACGCGTCAAAACGCCCTGTTCGCCAGGGAGAGCACACAAATACCAATGGGTGAGGTTCGCGCGCGCAACGAGCCCAGGAGGGATGATCTCGGCATCATACGAAAGGACTGTGGCGGATGTATACATGTGTATGCTAAGGCCGGTACGCAAGCAGGTTCCAAGTGTACCTCTCGAACATACCACCATAGAATATGGGGACACCTAACTGTGAATCATACAGGCCAGTACAAGAAATTCACGGAAGGATTCGTATCCCACCTTGATTGACAGAATCATGTTCACTGAACGCGGAGATCCGTCCGGAGTTGAGGAGACATCGTCCAAGAAGCAGTAAGTCCGCGTACCACGGCTGAGGATGCTGCACAGCTCGCGCTTCACAACCTTGTCCTTAGTCCCGTTCCTGCCTACCGACGCATTCCGGGCCTTGAGCATATCTGGCGTCTCGACCTGACAGAGAAGCAGAGAAATCAGCCACGGCAAGAGGCCCTCGAAACATGGCAAATATATATTGCCTCTGGTGGCTAAATAAAATACTTAAGGTTAGCTGCGGAAGGTCTGCGATACTCTCTGGCGGCGAGTAGACCCACTAAGCCAAAGGAAGACCTGGTTTCCGCCACGGGTGAGCAAAAAAGACTGGGTGACTACGCTTCACCGTGATTCACCTGCTCGACCCGTGCGACACGGTATCCCTTGGACACCAGGGCGTCAGCAAACTTCCCGTAGGATATCTCTGGGAAGCCACTGTGCGCCTTTTCGCCCTTCATGTAGATGAGATCTAGCTCCTGCATCCCGACGTCTGCGTCAACGTGAAACAGCTCGTAGAACTTGCCGACCTACCAAGGAAATTGAAAAAAAACGCTCGGTTCGAATGGTATTGAGTCGGGCAGGTAAGGCTGACACGAAGTAAATACCAGGTGCGCAGGCGTAAGTCAACACGCAGCAGATAGGACAAGACACCGTCTACCGCCCCACCTTGAAGAACAAGACTGTGTCCATGTTCTGGCTCTTGAATTTCCACCACTGAACCATCGCCGGGGTTTCTTTGGAGAGGAATGACGGCGGTACGTACAGAGTGCGCGGGTTGTAGAGTGGGTCATCTGGCCTCCGTTGGTTCGCATCGACGCGGTTTTTGTAGAGCCAGTCAAACGAATGGTGCGAGTGACGGCCAGTGTCCAGCACTCCCTCCGGAAGGGGGATACCCGCGGGTGCCTTTGGGGTTGGAGGGGAGGCGGGGGAGCTGAGGCCCACGAAAGGGCGCGAGCTGTGCGGGCTGGAACGGACGGTAGGGGTGCTGACGGGGCTTTGAAGGCTCCGGCCTGAAGCATTTCCCGTTGCACCACGCACCCCGCTTCCTGGCGACGCTGTGTCCGTGATGGCGTAGGATGCCAGGTCCGACGCCTTCTTCAGCCTTTTGGCTGCCGATCCGCCAGGCCTAGAAGGCGCAGCCTGCCCTGAGCGCTTCTTGTTGCTCGGGGTCGACTCCTTTCCTCGCGGTGTCACCGGAGCATCGGAGTCGTCGCTCTCAGCATCGTCGTCTTCGCTCTCGTTGCCCTCGTTCTGCACGCCGGCACGCGAACAACAGCGTGCACAGTAACTAAGTTGTGAAACGATCGATGCAGCTCAACGTTTTTGCTGCGGTGATGTACTACAAATAAGCAAATACGGACGAGAGCATCTACGGCCGAGGTGCCCGAGGTCGAAAACCTTGCAAATGTACCAGGTAACCATGTACATGCTTTAAACCATCTCGGGAGAAGCAAGAGTGCTGCCTTAATAAGAGCAAACAGATCCCCCCAAGAAGGATTGAGGTAACTCGTTGGCACTGATATTGTAGAAGTTGTGTCGGGTACATCACAACTGTTGCACAGAAGAGAGAAGGCACAGAGGAGGCCCGGTATAGTGCAGGTTGAATAGTGCAGGTGCCCGGTATAGTGCAGGTAAAATCTCGGGACACAGACAGCGCCCTCAATAGTGCAGGTCCTGCACTATTGAGGATCATCCCGCCATAGAGCAGATTGGGCACCGTGGTGCCCCGCCAAAGTGCAGGTTGGACACACACACGAAGACCAGTACAACAATCAAGGAGGGAATCATCGCGTGGAAGAGTGCAAGAGCTTCGAGCCAGATGACCTTCACCACAACAAACGACGCAGGGCCACAGAGAAGAACTGCCGGAAAACGATTGCTGTGCAAACGGTGATGAGAATGACGATGGTGGTGAAAGCAAGGAGGACGATGATGGTGAAAGCACTCCACAACGAACTAGAGTGCAAAGTAGCAGCCTGGCGTGCAGCTTTCCTCTGTTGCTACCGTTTCTGTCGTTTATTCGGAGAATAGCTTAGTCTCCCCCATGCCCCCCCCTCACGGGGTTCCCGTTAATGGCATTTGCAAGTGTTTTGTGTTATCAGCCGCACTGAGACTGCGTCTTGTCGTTGGTCAGCCGGTTAGCGCGGTCGATGCTAAATACTAGGAGCAATAAAGACCCCCACACATACACGGACAGCGGACAAAAGGAACACAGAAACGAGGGTACACGTGCTGCTGCAGACCCGAAGAGCTCTACGCAGGCGCACCATGCCATGAGCAGACGGTGATCGGGCGATGATAGCAGCGCATTCCTCTAAGCGGGTGCGCCAGGCAGACATGAGGGATTTTCGCGTAGTGCGGGCGGGGGGTCAGCCGTAGAAAGAAGTGGTTGTTTATTTCTTGCAGTGCGCTTCCTGTCGTGTTTCTTTGTTTTTTGCTATTTTTTTTCTTGCAACATCGATGGAGGGCAACGAGGACTGAGATAAGCTTCGTTAACTATGTATCAACGTAGAAGGGTTGGTTCGCGCGACAGCAGTTCAGGGTGTGCAGTACAGAACAAGTGCTGAGGCAGGAAGAAAATAACGGTGGAACATGTAAGTAAACTTTCTACAACATCTCTGTGTGCGACAGGGGGGAACCACAACGCGTCGCGCGACAGTCTGTCCATGCTAGGACAGGGCCCAGTACCCAGTACCACTGCAATTCGATCCATTTCGTACCCAGTAAGCCCCGCAAAGCGTGAGTGCCACAACATGAAGTCAAACATCTCCTCAATAGTGCAGGACCTGCACTATTGAGGGATATTCGAAACCTCAATAGTGCCGAACATGCACTATTGAGGCACTCTTCGGAGTCGTGCAGGTGCCCTCTATAGTGCAGGTAAAATCTCTCAACATGTGCATTGCTTGTAGTTCACCTCGTACACTGAATCATCGTCTCCTCCGCTGTCTTCGAGAGCATCCTGGTTCCATTCGGCCTCGTCGTCATCGTCGTCTTGAATCACCTTGGCCCGTTTCTTCTTGGGTGGCTTTGGTTCGCTCTCGTTCACTTCGCGCGCAAGTTCAAACTGACAACGAGAGAAGAGCGAGGGGGGGCGAAAATTTAAAAATCATATGTTTTTCGTCTGCTGCTGCAACAGACAATCTTCGCTGATTTAGGTTCAGAGCCTCCAGCGACGAGTACTCCTACCAAACCACCCTCTGGGACTGTATTCCTTTGCTCGATCCACCTTTTCATTCTTGAGAACGAGCTTCTCCTTGTCTCCGTCGTCGTAGTGAATGAGGTGCTTCCCATCCTCGTAGTCAATGACCTTGCCGAAGTACCAATTGTTGTCATCCCTCCAGAACACCTTGATGCGCTTCCCCAAAAGCTTCTCGGAGTCCTTGCTTGGTTGCTCCGGGCTGGCTCCAGCAGTGCTTGGCGTGGTAGCATGGCTCGGCTTGGGCTTGGTAGGAGTCTCCGTCTCCTTCTCCTTCTCCTTAGACTTGGTTGGAGGCTCCTTTGCGGGTGTTTTGGAGAAGAACGAGAAGAGGGTGCCCTGCCCTTTTGGCGAGCCCTTGCCTTTCCCCTGAGGCGATTTCTTTGACTTCATATCGGGGAGCAGTTGACCTCTGCTCGAGAGGCAGCTCGTCTTAAGGTGCAACAACGTGGGTACCTCGCAGCTGCTGTGACCGATGATGTTGGATACGTGAAGTGCGCGGCATCACCTTCCACCAAACACGACCGTGATGAGGGGCTCCGTGGGCAATTTCAAAATTTTAAAAATATGGACCCCACCCGACTGAGGAAGACCACGTTGCGAATTTTATTTAAATTCATTTTATATCACGGAGCTTTGTAGAGCCAGCCCAAGAATGAATCCACATATCTCGGGAGGAACTTCAATGCTTACGCGCACTATACACTACTGTACTGTTTCCGAAACAAGGTGGAAGCCGTGATGCACCTTGTAGATTTTACGGAGTAGTTGCGTTGTATATTGTTCTCGGAATTTGGGAGCTGTAATATCACGCTGCAGCGGACCTCAGGGTTGCGCTTTTTTGTAGATTACTCTAGCCGTCAAACTCCCTGTTGTTTTCCTATACATACGATAGCGAGCGACCCGTCAACCCGCGGGAGGGAGAAGAGGTTAATCGTGGCGCGTTCTGCACAACAGCGTAATTATTATTTCTGTCCCATTCACTTGTCGCTGCAATAACACCGTCGCCAAGGGTGACTGCCGTGTAACTAGCCAATAAATATATTTGGTGTATTTTCTTTTTCTCCCATCATTGGACTTTGTCGTCTGCCCATCTGGCCCCTATCCTCCACTCCTACTAGCTAGACCACCCAACCGGGGTCACATAGGAGGGGGGGGCTGGACCCCTATATGTACGGGTGGGTACCCCTCACCCAACGCATTAGCTCCGATCTAGGGTCACAGTGAGGAACCCTTGGTGCTTGTATTGATCCTTTTTTCAGTGACAAGGGTTCAGCCGCCCTTCCCTCAAGTAATACGACAAGCTCTCAGCTGCAATACTGCAGGTCCAGAAAATATCGAGACGAGGATACACCTCGTCTACAATCGACCTCCCAACTCCAGCCACTACTACTACAGCAGTACACGTACAATGAGAGTGACTTTCGAGGTTTCAGTGCCTTTCTCGACCACCCGGGGGCGAAAAGTCCGGGACCACGATTAGCAAACCTGGTGAGAAAAGAGAGCCTCATTCCGACTACCGGCAATTTCGAACGCCTGGGGCGTGGTGTCGGACAAGTTTCATGCGAACGAATCGGCTGACACTGCTGTGCATGAGCCCTGTTCATGAGCTGCGAAATCCTTTCTGAGCTACTTTGCCCTATTATGTTCACTTCAGCAGGCACCCGGCATAGTTCACTATAACGAGAATCGCGAGTCCCTGAATGAAATAACTATGGCAGCAACCACCCATTCGAGTACCTTGTGGCAGTTTACACCTTTATCGTCAAACCGCGATTGGAAAGGGCCACAGCAACTCCTGCTACGAACACAACGTAAATGGTTAAAGTCATGATAGCGCTCAGAGTGTCTGCATCCAGGGTTCGCATGGAGATGTTTACTGCTCCTGTTGCAAGATTCGCCACCATGAAGACCGGGAACATGTTCATGTTGATAGCTGCCAAGACCCGCGATGTTGGTCGTTTCAAGCTGCCACGTCAAACAAGCACACATGCGGGAGGCGGCAGGGTTCGTTGTAATTAACACCAACAAGAACCGCATGTCGGTACCGGGGTGGTGATAGAGTCAGAACGCAAAGAGCAATCATGATACACGCAGTACAGAAACGTGCATCCTGAAATATTGAGTCAACTGGTCTCAAACAATGAAAGTACATAGCAATTTTGTCTGACGTCTCAAAAGCTACCCACCTGAGACTATCGACGACCATCAGAAGGCCAAGCATAAGCATTGAGTGCGCACATACCCACAGCACGTACGTCAGGTTCACCATTCGTCTTCGCGGGATCACATGTGAGTGGACGCGCCGCGAAGGATACACAGCGAGCAAGGGAGAGAAAAGAAAGCAAATGCAAAATTGAAGTGTCAAGAGAAGCTTGGGGCACAGCAGTAATCGGTAGTGCAACACATGTCGTCACCATCTCCGCTGCAAGACATCGTCAATCGCAGGGGATAAGACAACCATTGAAACAATGTGCGGTTCTTCGCCACTCAACACAAGTCATTGACAGTGCGCGTCGCTCGAAAATACATGAACAAGCCCTGTAACATGACCCAGCCTTCTAGAATCCAGGCACGGAAATGTGTTACGGTTCAGTCAGGGTTGTCTCGTGTACGTATCGCCCGCGTCCGTGCGTTGACAACGTTTCGTTTCGTCAGCGGGATACGGCCTTGCACAGGAGCGTTTTTGGACAGAAGAGCTTGTGGATAGAAGACAAGGAGAAGGAAAATACCTCGATGTTTGCTGGATAAAGGCCTCGCTCAACAGCGTAAGCCCCCAGAGGACGAAGTTAGCCCTCGCTGCAAACGCCACGGAGCTTGATAAGGACTGCTGATGTTGACGTGCCTGCACAACAAGGACACGGCGACTGTTGAATGTCGCCACACACGTCTGCATGACATGAAGAACTCATACCCACTGGTGAATGCATACTTCGGTTCGTCGCAACACTGCGCGTGTGCTCGTCGCAACACTGCGCGTGTGAAATGCCGCCAGCGACTCTCACCTGAAGTTGCTGGTGATGTGCCGTAATTTGGGATCCCAGCTCCTCAGCCGTGTAGTAGATGGCTACGAAACCCACGAGTCCAAGGATCCCTTCTCGGTTCATCGCGAACAAAGTATCCCTCGGTGCGTGCACGATGAAATCAGAGAGCCCGCCTTTTGCAAGAAACCACTGATACACGGAAATCGCCACAAGCGCTAGAAAGGGCTTGAAACGCACGGGGCGTATTCGATTCGTCGGCGCCACTACAAGGCGCAAGAAGAACAGAGTTGCGAAAAAGTTCCAGTGCACACCGTACTCTGAAACATGCTCCTGGTAGCTTAGCCCCTTGATGACCACGAGACGAGACAAGCCAAGAGCAGCTAATGGCCACGCTCGAATAGCTGCTGACGCAATATCAGCAAGCATAGTACGCCAGACAGAACAACCTGGTCTCGGATGTCCCGATGCCCGCTTGACCCTGCATCCCGAGCCGAGCCCGCTTTGAGAGTAAACGATGACACGCACGGAACGCAGGGGCAAAGGTCGGAGGTCTCTCAGAGCTACAGAATTGAGCAAGTCCACAGGGGAGAGATTGCGAAGTGTGCGTGGGTCAGGACGTGAACTGCTGCTGTGTTTCAAGGCATTGCTTGTTTTACCTTGCGAAGATCGTCGCGCCAACTCCAAGATCCATCAGGCCGGTACCGAACACTTCGGTCTTGGCGAATCGGCGCGGAAATACCTGGAGGTTGACATGCAAACAACATGTAATACTTCGAAGTATGCACGACTCTCTTTAAGTATGCAAATCAAGAACACGATCATCGTGCTTCCGGTCACAAAATCGCTTGCCGATGGACACACCAGCAGCTGCAAGTTTTAGTTCACCTACCTGGAAATCTACGGCGAGGATGGTGATGCAAGTCATCAACATGATGCTTGCGCGAATATTTGTGACGGCTTCCATCATTGGCCAGCTCGAGTCATTCTCCCGGGGCATGTCCGTGCTTCGGTCTGCCTTGCCACTGCAAGTCACGCGGTATCGACGCTTGAGACGACAGCAGGCACCTGAAAACGGCCACACATTTTTGTAGACCATGGGTACAAACACTAATACTTCGACGAAAGGAGTCAGTCTTACATGAATTTCATGACTTCATCTCGATCACTCGAGGGAGACCTCACTCGTGTGCGAAAGACCCTCGCTTACCTGGGATGTTGCAGGTTTCGCCACGAACTATTTCACGTCCACCACTTCATCCCCTCCCACCCACCCCCCCATAGACTGCCACAGCCACAATCATATCTCACTTGTCAACGCCATGGACAGGACAAGCGTGACGGTCAGCGATGGCCAAAGCATGCACACCAGAGCAGGAAACACAACAGCCAAAAGTTCCACGAAGAAACCTTGCCAGCCCAACGCCGGCAGTGATTTTTCGCATCCTGCAAGCAACACCTGGTGCATGGAATTGTTTCATGGGGTTGCGGTCAAGGGTGAGCCTACGTAATGTTGTTATTTATGAGCGCCCTATTCCCTAATCACATCTGCGGCAGTTTGAAAGTTGGCGGAGCAGGCAGGCGAGAAACACAAACCTTTGCCTCTGCCAGGAGCCATATTCCCATCGGGATGGGCGTTGAAACAAGCACAAGCTCGAGCATTGTCGTGCCTGTCAAGTTCGATATGAATTCTTCCTGACGCTCTCTATACGCGTCTGCATTTTCGTGAAGCATGACGAACAGCACCGGTGCGATGTAAAGCTGAGGTCGTAGGGTCGTGCAGCGTGTCTTTTGGGTAAGCTACGCTGGCTCATTAATATTCGACGGACCCCCGCCCCCCCATACGGGGCAAGTCGCGGGGCACCGCCACTTTCAGTGACCCGGCGCAGACACACAAGAGAGACAAGGGTTCGAGAGAGAGAGAGAGAGAAAACGAGAGAGAGAAAAGCGAGGAGCACACAGCTGAAAGTTGGTGGTGAGGTTAAGGTGCGGAAGGGAAGCGGGGTGAGTGATCTGCATTTATTGGTATACCCGCGCGTCGTACTTCTTTTGTTGTCTGGATGGGCAGGTGTGGTGTCTGGTTGCTCGGGGGTGGTGCTCTTGGAACAAGGCGGGAGGTCAGTATTCCCCGGAAATGCACGGCCGTCCCCTGGCACAAATATCTGCCCTGTCTCTCTATGCGCATCGAAACTCGTTCACACCATGCAAGAGGCACTGCAGTTCTTCTCTCCTGTTTCTGCGCCGCCGGGGGATGATGTCCTCCGCGAAAACGTATCAGGGCGGACTCGACTCCTTTACACCTACCTGCTGTTTGTTCAGAGCGCATCGAAGAGGGGTATCCTTCCTCGATTTCCCTTCTCGGGCAAGGCGTTTTGTATGAAGGGGTTGGTCAAATCCAAATCCGAAGTCTTTCCATCCCTATCGTTTGTGATCTTGTGAACAGGTAATGATGGTTCTTACCCGCAGGGGTGCAAAATAGCGGGCCCGCTTTCGAATCCCAATTTACGCGCGCGGCACCTTCGGAAAAATCAAAACTTGAAACAATGTCAAAACATTGGGTCTCTTTGATACCAAAGACTCATAGGGAAGACACGAAGAATGTCGTCTGGGATGCCCCAACATGGTGCGTCTACAATAGCTTGCGCCCAGTAGAGCTATAGTTATCTCCTGTGTGTTGTGGTATTTTCGTGCCATCTATTCCGACGCTTGTCTACATCGTCGCAATATGTACATGTGACGTACAGCCGGGGTGACACAAATGGCAGTATTGTGTGTTGCCTTTTTTTTTGGCCCCCTGTGCTTGATTGTAACATTTGAACCCGATCCACTGCTGTAGGGAAAAATTCGTTTGCAGTTCCGTTGTTTTGCCCTCAGCAAGATCCAGGCGTGCCTCGCCTATAAGGGAAAAACATATCCAGAGACCAAGATATTGGCCAACACAAAGCAGGCAATGCACAGAGCGTTACACAAAAGCGTCTTCCTGATGCGGGTGGATACCCTCATGTCCTTGCCTGAACCAATGGTCGGTCAAAGATTCAACTGGGCAAATACCAGCGGCGGTTGAACATCCCCCAACATTTGATTAATCCTGCCACGCTTACGCGCGAGAGGGCAACAGCTAGTGCAGGCCGGAGCTGATGCGATCGAGTATTTGTGCGGACTTGTGCTCTGATGTTGTGATGGCTGTGTGTGGTTCCCGGTATTGGCAATGAGAAGGACGTGATTATTGTGAGTACCGATATACCAAGTAATATATATTTTGTCTCCCATCATTGGACTCTGTCGTCTGCCCCTCTGGACCCTATCCTCCACTTCTACCAACTAGACGACCCAACCGGGGTCACATAGGAGGGGGGGGTTGGACCCCCTCCTGCGGTTCCTGCCTGAGACATTTTTATCGCGAGAAGGGTACAGCAATCCCTCCCCTCGCGACTCACGAAGTCGATCAAGTTTACTAAAAACGAGCTTTGCAGCGCGTCGCTTTCATCCTAGACAAGGATTTATTTAGTGAGACAAAAACTCTCTCTGCCGGGACTCGAACCCATGACCTGACCCTTAGCAGGCTGTGAGGCTACCCACTAGACCACCGGGGCGACCGGTGTGTACGTAGCAGTTCCGTTAAACCCGCTTTGTACTCTGCGTATTACAGAATTGGTCGAGTTGCTGAGCCGTTACTTGGTCATCGCGGGCGTGAGGCACTTGGCCGCTGGCACTGCTATGCATAGCATGGGCTTTCCATGTCGTGCGTCCAGGGAGGGGGCAGAGAAAACTCTTGTGCCAACACGCGTTGCGTGCACACATATATCCTCTGTGCTCTTGCGGATGGTTACTATCGGAGAGAGGCATGTGGCTGCTGCTGCAATTTTCTCTGGTAGTCCGCTGTTCGTCACCCTTACATCTACCCACGTCCACATCATGTATGACACATGCAAAGATTTTCCTCGCTGCTGTGTCATCCAAGCCGCCGTGATCTGTGTGTTTGTATCTTCGCGTTTATGATTGGGAGTATTCGTCCTCCACGCGAGAGCCAAGTCACGCAAGGGTTAACGTGAGAAGGCTGCAGCAGTACGTTCCATCGTGTATGCTCATCGAACTTATCGCTGTCTATATCAGATTGAACCCACAACTTGCTGCTAGTATATTTCAATTGGTGCAATTGCGAGGCTGCCCACGAAACCACGGGGGTGACCGGTGTGTGCTCGTATTCGATTGAGCATTTTCTGGCAAATGCGGGCATAAGAGTTTCTAGTTTTTGGGCGGGAGAGAGGGTTGGTTTGAACATTCCTGGTGGCGCCACTCCCGCCCCCCTGCCGCTGATGCCTGTGTTGGCCTAGATTCGATGACATGAGTGCCCGAAGAGCCCCGAAGTCTGCAGCAACAATGCAGAATAGATGAACATCTAGCTGTGATTCATCTGCTCGCCTATAGCATGTTGCCATCCCCCGACGTCGACCTTGACTTCAATGCAACCCAATTCGAGCAACGACTCCGTCACATCTTCAAAGACTGTGTCTTGCTACGAACCAATCCGGTTTCAAGTCCGTTTGTCTGCTCTTCCACAACCACAAATGTTGACGGGATAAGAAAATGCCCTCGGCTCCACCTCTACACAACCAGCTCTGGGTGTTCGTGTAGATACATGTAACCGCAGGATGGGGTCCAACCCCCCCCTCCTATGTGACCCCGGTTGGGTCGTCTAGGTGGTAGAAGTGGAGAAAAGTGGCCAGAGGGGCAGACGACAGTGTCCAATGATGGGAGAAAAAAAAAATTACCTGGCTTAACTGCAAGACGTGTGGGTATTGTGGCCCTAGATCAGTTGATCCGCGTGGTTACTCCGCTTTTGTGCTACCTGATCCGTGTTTGTTGCATTTGTTCACCATGCCGTTTCTGTGTGTGCCGTCCCATCTATTCCGGCGCCGGTTCTTGTGCACACCCGTATATGTTTCAAGTATCAGCCGGAGTCACACCGGAGAATGGTCACCGGAGCTTTCGTCCGTCAGTATTTGCCTCAGTTTTTTCGCGACAAGTTCGCACGTACATTTCCCTCGTCGACCGTGAAGCCGAGCAGTGTATTCACTCACGAATTTATAATTTCCACCGAATCTGCAAAGTTTTTTGTTCTCATCGGAGAGACGGTCTTCTTAACAACTTGATTCTAGCATGCAGGCTACCGGGGCGACCGGTTCCTACGCACAGAAAATTGAAGGGGTGCTTTGACGTGAATACAAGGAACTCCCTTGTATTCAGTGTATATTTTCGATGACACATGCACTCAGAAGGTGTGGATGTTTATCGGGCGGGTTGTTTGTCGTGTTTTTTTTTTTTAACGAACCCGTACCACTTTACTCCATGCGCCTCCCCGTCGGCAGAGGTACACACAGCCTGAGAGAATGTCGGAGAACGGAGGGGATAAGCGGCAGCGGAAGGACGATGATGGCGTTCGCGGAGGCAATGAGGTTGATACCGAGCGCGGATCGAAGCGACAGAAGGGCGGGGGAAATGGCGCTGGCAAGGGCGAATACACCCACGCCGTCCACCTTCGCGGATTGCCTTGGAACGCGTCGACGAAAGAGCTGGTGGACTTCTTTGCACCAATGGATGTAGAAGACGGCGACATCCACTTGGTGCACAACAGTCGCGGCGAGGCTTACGTCAAACTGAAGAACGAGTCGGACTTAGAAACTGCCCTTAAGAAGGACCGAAACACGATCGGCCGACGCTACATCGAGGTGTTCCGGAGCTCGATCGAGGATATGGAACACGCTCTGGATGATGTGAGCAGTAAGGGTCACGGCGACGGGGGTTACAAGGGCGTTGTTCGGATGAGAGGCCTGCCGTGGAGTGCGAACGAGGGAGACATTCGCAACTTCTTCGATGGGATCGCCATTGAAAAAGATGGAATCCACGTCACTCTCAACCGTGACGGACGGCCGTCGGGGGAGGCTTACGTGGTTTTCGAGACGGAGGAAGCCGCCAAGGAAGCACTGAAGCGGGACAAGGACAAGATCGGTGAGCGGTGGATCGACATTTTCGAGGCAACAAAGGGTGAGGTCTATTCCATGACTGGCGGAGGAGGGAAGAAAGGAGACCAGGGTGGTGTGTCTTTCGACACCACGGACAGTGCTTACACTGGCGTTGTTCGGATGCGCGGTCTGCCGTTTGAGGCTACAAAGTCGCAGATCAGAGCGTTCTTCGACGGCATCAACGTCAAGGAGTCCAACATTTTCATTGTCACCCGCCCTGACGGAAAGGCCTCGGGGGAGGCGTTTGTCCTCTTTGCGACCGAAGCAGATGCAGAGAAGGCGCTACTGAAGGACAAGGAGAAGCTCGGTGACCGATGGATCGACCTCTTCGCCACCAACAAGGGTGCGCTTTACCAACGTGTTGGTGTTGGAGTCAAGATGGCGGCCAAGCCAGATGCGGAGTTCCGTGGCGTCCTGCGCATGCGTGGACTTCCGTTCGCCTCTGGTGTCGAGGAAATACGGACATTTTTCCGCGGCTACAAGCTACAAGAGCACGGCGTGTTCGTGGTGAACGGAGGGGATTGGCGCCCAACGGGAGAGTCGTACGTTCTGTTTGACTCTGAAGATGAGGCCGAGCGTGCGTTTAAAGCTCTTGACAAGCAGAAGATCGGAGACCGCTGGATCGAACTGTTCCGTTCAACAAAGGGTGACCTCTACACGGCCACAGTACGCAGCACCGTCCTGGGCATGGAGCGAGGTGGCGCGATGTACGGGCGGGAGCCCATGACCTGCGTGAAGCTGAGGGGACTGCCGTTCAACGTGACCGAGAACAACATCTTCAGCTTCTTCGAAGGACTCACGGTGATCGGCAGCTTCATCTGCAAGGATGTGATGGCGCGTCCTACGGGCGAGGGATTTGTGGAGTTCGCGACGGTTGACGACTGTCAGCTCGCCATGAGCAGGAACCGCGAGTCCATGATGGACCGCTATGTGGAGGTGTTCGCTACCAGCAAGGAGGACGTTCTTCAACAAATCGGTGCATCTGGGACGGCAGCCAACGGCGGAAACCGAGGCGGGGGTTACGGTGGCGGCGGAAATGGGGGAGGGAGAGGATATGGCGGTGGTGGTGGACAGGTGGGTTCGGTTGCAAACCTCGACGTAGATGTGCAGTCCACGCCGGTATCCTGTGCGTTTCTATGAAGATCAGAACATGGACGTTTTTTAAGGCGGCGGTAGACTCAATAGGAATCATGACAGGGTTCGTCGCCTCCTCAGCCTGAACGCGGGGGAATCTGCCACTTCAAACTAATAGTGTGGGGCGGTTCCACCCGAACGAGCACTTTTCATCAACTAGAGGAGCTCTGCGAATCTGAGACGATTTTAGCCTCGAACTACCCTTCTTAAGGTCAAATTTAGCTGACCCCTTGCTGGACCGTCAAGTAGCGTCCGCTTGATTCACGAGTACGCAACGTTGAATATTCAAGCAGAAAATTACAAATTACAACACACCAGCCACACAGGTATACGCAGTATCGTGAGTATGAGCAGGGTATGGATCTCTTCAACAGGGGGCATCGGTCAATGTTGGATTTGTTTTTGGGGGGTGGCTGTACCCGTATGGACTAAGGAGAGGGCTCGAGTAGGCAAGCAATATTATTATGGCTGCCCAAATTCTGGTTTGATCTCACAAAATCATGGCGATGGGTTGTATATGGCTGCCTGCCGCTAGTTTCTGGGCGGTCGACGCCTCTCATGCATGTCATGTTGCTCCGAGCACGACCTTAGCCTTCCACTCGCGCTTTCTGCCAAGGGCCGTAGTCGAGAAGGGCCATCTCGAGCTAGATGGAGAGGATCCGTGGGCGTTGAACGAAAATTTTCTGAATTCCGACGGTCGCCCTGTCTTCGAGAGATGTTAACATTGACGACTATGCGCTACGGTTGCTCAGGTCGGTGGTGGCGTCGGCGGCTATGGCGGATACGGGCAGTATGGCGGGGGGAGAGGATACGGGGTTGGTGGGCACCGCCCATCGCCTGGGGGGTATGCATCATACGGAGTCAGGGCCGGAGGAGGCGGTGGAGGTGGCGGGGGCGGCGGCTTTGGTTACGGCGGAGGCGGAGGCGGCGGCGGAGTAGTCGGAGGGCCTGTTCCCATGGGCGGCTACGCACAGATGGCCGGCGGGCAGCAGTTCGGAGGTTATCACAGAGATAGAAGGGACGACAGAAGGGACTTCCGCTGAGCTTCGTGTACAGTCAAGATCTCTGAAGCTTCTTACTGAACGAAGATACCCCGGCGTCGACAAGGCGAACATGCGTTATTTGGCGGCAACCAAGTGTTTCATATAGGCGTGAGGGTACACGTAAAAATCAGGGCGGAGGATTACATTTTTCGTGGGTTATTCGTACATTGCATCCGTCTCGATGCACGTCACGTTTGTTTTTTTTGCTGACAGCACGTGAGTGAATTAAAATAATAGTTATTTTCGCAGCACTGGTCATCAGTCGATCTACAATGCCTTTTCTCTACACATCCGACTGCATCACTAGGGCAACGCCGGCCACCACCCACTTTCGAGCGGGGTCAACTGTACGGAGGCTCGCCAAGAAAACGTAGTGTGGCCCACGATTGGACGTGAGATAAACAGGGCAGTCATATAGGCCCTTTTCTCCGCGCATGTACCCCACCGAAGTCGGCGTCCATGCATTCACCACTGGCACGGCCTTAACGTAGACAACAGGTAGCCACGACATCACGTCCTTGGGGCGCGAGTCGGCCAGATGGCCTTCCGACCGCATTATTTCCTCCACAGATTCCTCAGCCGCTCTTCTCTCTGCAATCAGCCTGAGCCGTGCTGAAATGTCCTCCAGCTCCTCCTCGTCTTCGTCTGCCTGCTCGATTGGCACCAAGACCCGCCAACCATTGCTTAGGCAACAAGTTGGCAGCACACATCTTGGAATTCTCGCAACACGCGAGCGTGGTCTTGCCGTGATCATGACTTACAACGGTGTGGATGCCAGTGAGACTCACCTGGCCGCAGCGATTCCACCTGGCACCTTCAATGAAGAATCCGTTAACCAATGCACCCTGAGGTGGCAAGGCTCCGACTGCCGCGGTTTCCTCGGATGTTTCCATGCATGTCACCCGGGTCTCCACAGTTATTTTGTCGAGGGGCAAGCCGAGCTTGCGCGAAGTCACTTGCTTTAAGGCCGTTAGAAATGCCGTTGGGTTAAAAAGTCCGGGGAGCCACAACGGGTTCGGAAGTGTTGACAACTTTGCTGTCCACCGCCGAAGAAGCCCAACCCGTTCCACTAGATCCGCCAGCCACGACGACAGAGTTTTTCGCGATGGCCACGCGTGACGTTCCCACGAGCAAGTGCTATACAGGTCACGCCCTGGCACCTGTTTCAGGAGGGGGGGATGTAATCATAGTCGCGCATGCGGTACAAACGTCGTTTGACCATTGACCACGCGTCCTCGAAGAAGACGGAGCACGGTTCTCACAGGACCGATCATCGGTGCCCAATCGTTCCTTCCTACTTTGCCAAAGGTGGCTCATTAATGTCTTCCCAACATGTAGTATTGACATCACTTCTCGCCTTTTCAACCCACTTCTTATGCCCCAGTACAGCTGGCATGTTCTCCTGGTTATGCCATGCCTCACACATCTCTCTGTACCTTCTTACTTTTCCCAGCTCAGTCATGTACACTTCCCTCTTTTCGTACAACGGAAATTTCTACATGAACCCGGTCTTCGCACTCGTAGCCCTATTGTATTCACATCTGAACATGTCTTCATCGTCTACCTTCCTAAATCTTCGTCTACGTTCTCGAAGGCCCGGGTCTCCGGTCCTACATTTGACCTTCATTTGACCCTGCATCCATTATTAGTCCACGCAGGTACTCGAGCCCTAGACTATTCCTTCTTTCAATATTCCGTACACATGTAGACACTCCTTATCCTTGGCTTTCCTGGATAGGTCTCTCGGCAAAGCAACAGACACGTATCTATCTTCTTCTTGAACCCTCTATCTACAGGCCCACCGTTTCGACTTTTTCATTTTCGAACCCCTTCGATACGCCCTGAACAATCTTAACCCACTTCTTCGGCTGTCTACCCTTCTAGTTTGCTCACTTCGCCTCCCAGGCTATTCTTGACAATCCTCCTCTCCCATATCGTGCATGCGGGGGGGAGGGTCCCCAGAAAGTTGTTCTACCGTCGCACGAGTGGACTGCTGTAGCAAAGCAAGTTCAGTCAACTACTGGTAGTGGTTCAGGTCGCGTCGTAAGTTGTTTTCGAGAAACACAACCAGTCTTCCACGAGGTGGTTCACAGTAAAGCGTTTGATATCGATTTTGACGTACCTCATTTTTGGCAAGGGCTGTTTGCAGATCTTCCATCGCTTGAGTCATGTTAAGCTGACCGTCCATTCCTTTCACAAGCTCTAGAAGAGAACGCTTCAGTTCAAACAGGAGAACATTCATTCGACTGCACTCTTGAACTGCTACCACCACGTAGGGACCCTGCTCCGTGTCGAGGAGACTTCTCGCCTGCATTGGGGTAAGCGGAAAGGGGGTGAGGGAGTGAGAGCACGCCAAAAAGATAGCAGTACCATCTAACTAATAATAGCGCTACCACCAAACTCGATCCCCTCAAGGATTGCTCTGCCCCGAACGTTGCGTTTGTACTTTGTTTCGAGAACAAACAAACCTTAACGAAAAAGTTGTTTTGCCGCCGCTGGGTACCACGACAACAACAACCACGGGGTATTCTGGAGATTATGGCGACAAATCAATAAATAGGTCGACAGCGTTTCAAACATCTACAGGCTACCACACTGTTTTATGGGTTGAGGTCAAAATCTGCGGCATGGATTTTATCTATGCAGAGTCTGGTTTCATTCGAAAGTCGGGCGGATAGCACGCTAGAATTGACAAGCTGATCTTACAGTGCATGTCCAAATAGTTCGGCGGTCTGCAGTTCACGCATACCTGCGCTTCGATAGTGTTCACGTCGAAACTTGTTGGCAGGGAAGGTAGGAGACGCTGTCGAATAGAGTCTGCCGTTGTGAAACCGGGTACTACCGTACGTCCAGTTGCTGTGGAAGCTACGCTTGAATCATCTTCCTCGTGCTGTCTGCTTGCAGAGCTACCGGCACCCACAGTCTCCAACCTTATTTGGGGAAACATGGACAGAAACTCTCATCAGCATAAGCGGGGCTCCCGGATAGTGATAAGACGTTGAGGGAACGCAACTTTCCGATACAACGACACCCACCCACCTCGAGAACGCAGCAAATATCTCATCCGCAGCGTTGGTCAGGTATCCAGTTTCTGCGTTCGCTGGCATCCCGAACATGCCCGGCGTCTCTTCCGGCAGGGAATTCTTGATATATACGCTATAGAGGTGGTGATCCATGCCCTCTGGTTCGGGGGCAGCGAATCCAGGTGCTAGCGGTTTCCCTTCGAAAATCCCTCGATCAAATATTTCCTACAGGCGCAGCAATAGGACGTAAATGCGCGTGTCCAGGTGACTGCACATTCCCGATTTATCGTACCGAGTTGGGGATTGGCGAGGTCGCTTCCCCGGGATAGAGGTCCAGCACAGACAAGCTTTGCGTCGTCGTTGCAACATTCGTAAACATCTCTTTGAGGTTTCGCACCATCTATGCCTTCGATCGTTCAAGCAGATTATCATGTCGAGGCAAGCACTGGACTGCTTGCGAGAGGATCATCATCGCTCGTTTTACCCTTGGCATCTGGCGGCGAAGATCGTGAGCGCCATTTCTTTTACACCTGTGTGCCCAACAATGGATAATGGATATTGCAGGCGGTGTGTGGTTTTCCCATTTGCCTGAGTAGCGCTCTCCACCCCTTTCTAGTAGTAACCGTCGGCTGTTCATGAATGGAACAATAAAGCTTTGGACGAACCGGCGGCTAACTTGGGTTATTCTTTTTTCACTCGAGCATGAGTCAATATTTGCGTACCCTCTCGTGAATGGGTCACCTCGAAGGCTTTCCGCCTCTTCCTCGAACTTGACACGTGTTCGAGACTCACCTCCAGGTAGGATGTCGTTACTCGACGATCGAAGAAGTCAGTGATGTGACCCCCGTACATAATCTCCCCAAAGATGTAGCGCAACTCCTGCCAAGGTGCACCGCGTCCGTCCGCGGAAACCGCGGCTTCCCAGTAGCTGTGGAGGATGTTGGCGCAAATGTTGAGGTCCCCTGCTGCAAACCCGTAGGACCGCGACCAACCCAGCTGCCCGAAGCGTCGACGACCCAAAACAAGTGAGTGGAAGAAGCAGAGCCCGAAGAGACAAGCTCTAAACTCTTTCGCTGCCGTACATGAATCGAGCTTCTCCTGATCGAACATTGCCCAAGATCGCTGCAGGTTTGACCGTAGATCTGCAGGTGCCTCGTTGGCTACCTTCAGGCAAGACTGGAGACACGAAGTAACAACGAAGGCATGAGTTGGCACGTGGCCTCTCGGTCGCACATAGAAGAAGCATATTGAAACATCGTTGCCGTTATCATTTACGGCACATGCGAAGACAACGTTTCCTGCTTTATGCCGTATCAAGTTGAATATTCGAACTTAAATTAGCGCCACGTGTGATATCACCTGGAGGAGAGCTTCTGGCATGTTTTGCATCGTGGGTAGTGGAGGGGGCTCTGCTGAGAGGAAGCACCGGAACGTCTCGTTGACCTTGCCACTAATCCCCTCGAGTGTCAAGACCAATGTGGGTAGCCACGACTGCATGAGGTGAACGTTTTGCAGCATGACCCACCCACCCTTTTGCACGAACTTTTTTATCGTGCGCTCCGCCTTAGACTCTTGGCCCTGACCTGAGAATCGGTTATGCATGCGTCCACCGGAACAATGTAGCATCAGTATGTGCATCCCGTGGTGGATCACAACGTGGTGACTGCGTGCAACAGAACCGTGGCTTGCCCATCACAACAAAAGACTTGGTAAGCGCTCTCACCCATTGAGGTATTGGACAGCATCTCGTTGGTCGTGCTGATATTCATCTCTCGCCCTAGACCTTCAACCCACGCTGCAGGATCCATGCCAGGAAATAGGAGAAACAAGATTGGCGTAGACGCCGAGCTATCTTCGTACACACTCCGCATGGAGAACGGAGGCTGAGCGACAAAATTTTCGCCCAAGACTTTTGAGACGAACTTGCGAAGGGCGAATGTTATTCTGTCAGGCCGCAGCACCCGAAGGATGCACAGAGTCTGAATCTCTCCGGCTGTGGCGAAGTCTCCCGGCAACGGATCTTCTTCTGGGCAAGGGCTCTCGTACCAATCTACCCATTCCTCGGCGAACATAACGAACTTGGCAGCAATTTCTTGGAACACGGCATTTTCCTCGCCGAGGCGCTCCAAACCCATGAAGCACCTCCACGTGTGTTCCGGTAGTATTCTGAAAGAGTCGAAACACAAAAAGAGGGAGGAGATCATACTTGTGCAGCCTGGGCTAGTTTTATCATCCAGAGCTGCATCAGCATTGAGAGAGCTTAGGATGGTCCCTTCGTACACCCGGAGACCCGAATGATGACAACCAAGCATCGAATCAGCGTCGTGGACATCCATCCCTACAATCACCGAAATGACGGTCATGCGCGGTTCGCTGTGCCCTCTGCAATACTTGCTGCCATAGCAACGGCCAACGGCTAGAGCTAATTGTATTCTAAAATCGAGTATGGTATAGTATTGTTGTCACCTGCGTGCCTCTTGTGGATATACAACCGAGTCTCCGCTTGGTTTGGGTGAAATGAAAGCTTCTGTTGCACTCCGCCCACTGCTGTCTCCATGTCCTAGTATTCTAAGAGCAATTAAGCTGGAAACAATGAGTTTGTCCTTCTCCACCAGCCCGCGTCGAACGTAGTTGAATACCACGAGTGTGATGCGCGCTTGCAGTCGAGGAATCTTGGCCATGAGCTGTAAGATGAGCGGCGGAAGGAAGCAGTCAGCTCTGAAGTTTCAGGGCGCGCAGCGCGTTTGTCCCATGTGAATAGCTGCAAGGCGGGCAAAAACAAAAGCTTGACCCACCGTGTCTCGCGAAGCAGGGCTTTCGTCATTTTCTTCCATGTGCAGGAAGTTGCCGACGCCCCCGACGCTTTTCCGCACTTGATCTTCGCTCAATTCGATCGATTGCCGCATCAAGTCCTGATTTCAAACCAACCACCCGTGAATAGGAAATTGAGACATGGTGCTTTTGGAACTTGTTCGCACAGCTACTATTGGTTGTTGGGTAGACGACCACAGCATGCACCATACCTGGTTCCACCCGAAAGATTGCATCCGCGATTGTCGTTTCTTTCGGGGTGCCGACCCTTCGTTGTTCACCGATCCTTGCTTCTTGCCGCGAGCTTCCTCGTTCACAAGGTCTATTCCACACTGGAGGAAACAATTTTTTTAGCATTTAGGGTGTGTCAGGTTCTCACAGGAAGGAGATGTACACGTTAAGTTAAGGTGGACACGGCAGTTCTTCAGAATGAGGCTGCACCATCGTTTGTTGAGTCTTCGGAGTATTTTCTGCTCAACGTTAGACTCGAATGCAACCCCAGAGTTGTTGGCAGTCTGCGCGTATCTGACCTGGAAGATCGCCACGAAGGCGTTCAGGCTGTACACGTAGAGAGAGTTCATCTTGTGAAGATCAGTGATAACAAAGAAGAGCAGGCTGCCTCTCCTCGCGACGTCCCTGTATTCCTCGGATAGGAAAATGATCTTCTCGGTTGCCACCTGGTGTGAGGGACACAAAACCACAGATAGATATAAAGTTGGACCAAAACTAAGGCCGCTCACTCTTGTTGCAACGGATGCATTTGTGGTAAACTCGTCAGTGCACTAACAGTAGTGTTACCAGCTTACCATCTACTGCCAGATGGCACGCACCTTCATCTCAGCCAACTTTTGGGTAATTCCTTTGCTTAGTTTCTTCGACTCTTCCAGTCCTTCCACAAGAGCTCGATCTTCAGTGACATCGCCAGAAGACTCGGTCAAGCGCAGAAGGATGTCATCCTCTAGCTCTCGTATGCGTATCTGGATCGCGGGGTCAAATGTCATTCTTCGTGAGAAGCGTGACGTCGGTTGCACAGGAACAGCAGAATCGCTTGGGATCCGTATGCATACTTCTTTCTACTAGCACTCCTGCTCAAAATTTCACTACAATCGGGTATTGTAGAAGACCCAGCGATGTCTACCCCAACGGGCTTGACGAACAACGTGCCTTGAACTGGTTTTGCTGATGGAGGAGAGCTGTCCTGTGTGCAGCCAAGTCTGGCCTCTCTGTCTTGATCACGACGGCCAAAAGTTGGTCCTCTAGCCCCGTCGGGGTGACCATGAAGTTCACAACTGTTGTCTCCGCCTGGACTTCTGGGGGGTAGTGTGGATTCGAGAGCTTGGTGTGCAGGAACAGCCTAAAGTCGGAGTGCTGCTCAACTTCATCATCACCCAGCAGAATGACACTGCGGTTGCCTCTCCGGATGAAAGCCCTAGTGACAACTGGGATAACAATGGGGTCAATGGACTCGCCCATGTTTTCAATGATCACCGAAAACCCTCGTTCCATCGCCTCTTGAAGCCTACGAAGTAAGTCGTTCTGGCCAAGGCGCAGGATTTGAAGGTTCTGGGATGCCTCCTTCTGCTTTAACCAGGTGATGCCCTTTCGAGTGGAGCAAAACACAGCCAGCGTTAGTGTTGATGGTTGCATGTAATGCTAGCGAATGCTAGCGCAATCAACAGCACGCACAATGTAGGACACATGAGGCATATGACGACCACGCACACCATATTGCGTGTGTGTACCATCACGTTTGTTCTGGACGTCGAGTTTTCTCCGCTCGGTGTGTTTTGGAACGCACCAGCCCGGGTCACACAGGAGGAAGGTCACACAAGGATGTTCTCACTTCATCTTCATCTGCGTTGTTTGCGTGTGAAGTGTTGTCGCGAGACGAAATTCACCCGTTTCTTTCCCTTGTCGGTTTGTCGTGTACATGCGAACGAAACCCCATCACCATCTGTTGAACATAATTTGGGAAACTTCCCAGTTCGGGCGACTGCGCCGGGTTCAAACTCACGCCCTACACTTCAGAAGGTCGAGGATAAGAACTGCATGCCAGGAGTATCTTGACGAATGCCAAGAACACACTGACACCCCTATTCTCTGCAATGCCTGGTTGCATACCTGAAGCTGTGGATCAATAATGAGAGGCCAACGCGCACAGTTGTCAACAATTGCTCCATTTTCTGACGACACAGGATCAGCGGGTAGTCCTTGGGAGTTCCACTTGGCGATCTCGGCTTCGTTCGTCAAAACACGTAGTGGGTCAGCTGCAACGCTCATGGGCATGGGACCGTTGTTTACGGATTTGGCCATGACCGGGAGCCACTGCTCTTTCACCAACTGCTCCCGGAAAGGCTTGGTGAAGGGACCGACATAGCTGAGGAATGCGCTTGCGACAAGAACATCACCGACAAGATTTTCCTTGTCCTCCAACAACGTTTTCACTCCTGTTGCCCAGCGCTCCGTCTCTCCTCCCAGGCTCGACACGAGACGCCTCGCCAGCTCTATCTTGGTCTTTCCCCGCTCATACGTGGCTTGCGCCTCTTGCTTTTCGCCCTCTGCCCTCTCATACTCGGCGTTCAAGATCGCAAGTGTTGCTTCCAGCTGCGATAAGCGTGCTCTCACCTTGCAAAGAATTCCATATGAGTAGTCATTGTTAAACGCTCTGAAGACACGGGTTCGAGCAATACTGAAGGAGGCACTCTTTTGTGGTGTCGTGCTTTCAGTCTCTTGACATGTCACTTGCAAATTAATTATGGTACCTTAATTTGTTTGTAATGTGGTGAAGACAAGAACAGCAACAACCTATTTTGTAAACAAGTCAACCCACCTCCCCGAGCTCGTTATTTGCGGCTTCAAGTTGGTCGTTCGCTTCTTGAAGGGCTCGTCGCTTAGGCTCCACTGTCCGCACTATGTCATAGTACTGGACGATGTTGAGCACCCAGGAGCAAAGACCTGCAGCCGCAGAGTTTCGTTTCTCGATGACTTCCACTCTAAAGTGCTCCAGGTCAAGGAAGGGCCTAACTTCGCGGATATTGATTTCTGGCACCGATCCGTCGTCCACGGCTCCTTTAAACCCCTGTTGATTTGTCCACGAATGAAAGACACTGCTTAAAGCAGGCGAACATTTTGTCCGAAAAGCTCGATACAGCAGGTTGGGAGTAGTTGTTGCAAGCCTCCTCTTCATGCACACTTTCACGGCAGAAAGTTGTCCCCCTCTCTGTTGCGGGCATTCGTCCTCGCGGCCGGACTGGAGAACCCGTGGGATTGTGCACATGGCATACATACAGTATCGCAGGAGACAAGGACAAAACTACATAAAACTCTTTGCTTCTCAAACAAGGGCAACGATTTCTCTAGCCTGAAACCTCTCGCGACGACCTGACGAACAAGTACTGCCTCTTCCGCCGTCGCGAGTTGGTTGATGACAGACCAAACCTTCAGTTCTTCCAGGAAGCCGTTGATATTTCCCAGCAGCGACTTTTTCACGCTGTCCCACGTGCGATCCTTATCTCGGACCTTGCCGGTCTGCTTGCTCACCACTACGTTGTCGCTGAGGGTCGCCAGTAGCACCTACAGGAGTGGTTCAGAGAAATGTATGAATAACTCACAAAATATATTTTGCACGACACAAGAGGGCAACTGTTGCGGGTAGTGCTCCGGGCATGAAACCCCCAGCCAACCACTGCAAGTCCAGAACTCGCGGTACGCACACGGGCGACCGCAGAATATGACATTGTAACACCACGCGACCAAAAGGTCGCCCCCTCGCAAGACACTCACCATGCATGCGATGAAAATGTCCACCACGCCAGGAGGAGGAACACTCATAGTCTTGCACTGTCCTAGCTGGGATTTATCCAATGTATCCAAAGCACTCATGGCCGCGAGCACTGCAGGTTCTGCCTTGGCGAGGTCGTTTTCGGCATCCGCCTGCTTCCGTGCTACCTCGTTCTGTATTATGGCCACCTTGTCTGCCTCGATGTTGGCATTTTCTGTCTCTCGCCCAACCCCTTCCCGTTCCATCCGTACCTGCCGTTATGGTGTAAGTTCCTCACGTGAGCTTGGTATCTTTCCTTATGGATAAGTAGCATCGCCCTATTTCACAACTGTAGGGTCAACGTGACCGAACTTCGTGGATTCAAAATTGGACCAATGTGGGGAAGGTTCATATCAATCTTGGCGACAAAGATGAGGATGGTTGAGGCTCATCCACAGAGTACCACATCGACATAAGGGCCCACCTGGTCGGCCATCTTGTCCGCCTGGGCGCGTTTCTCCTCTGCGGAAGCAAGCATCACCTGCCGACCGAAAAAATCCCAACACAACACCGACTCAGGCATTATTATCGATGACTACAGCGGTGGTGCTCTTAAGTGAATGGAAACCAAAAACGTTCCACTCACTTACACAATTTCCTGGATGGACCAAGATGCACAGGATTGAATTTCGAGTTAAGTCAGCAACGCACACGCAGCTATTGCCGGGCGAGGGGTAACCTTAGCCCCGAGTTTCCTTTGTAAGACGTTCCTCTTTAAGACATAAGCACGATAGCTAAAATATTTTACCTTGAGATTTTCCTCAAGATTTGCCACGGCCTCTGCTGATTCCGCTAGTTTCAACACGCCTCCTTCCAGACGTTGTATAGCGGCATCTGCCTCGATGTGCTTTCTGTCTAGAAGGGAAGTGAACAGCTTCAACAATTCCAGGTAGGACTTGGGTGTGGTGTACACATGCCGAGCCTCGGCTGCCAAAAACTGGGCGTAGGCAAAGTGGGCACAGCACCGCACGACAACATCAGCAAGCAACAGGAGGGATTGGCGTGAAGGCACAAAGGCACAAAGATCGATCAAACAACATACAGACAGCCAAGATTAACTACCGATGCGTTTCTGATAGCGCACATTCACGAAACGTCCATTTACACCTTTGTGCACATGGTGTTGACTCCCTCGAAGCTGTGAATCATAAACTGTTCGACTCCAGCCCTTACGCCGTCTCCATCGAGATAGATACTCTTTGCCAGGAATCGCGTGCCCACACTCGCTAGGGCTTCCTTGGGCCACGGCTGGAACCAGTCAATAACTGTGCAAGATACAAGCGCAGGGAACTTGCGGGCCCGATTCCGGAACTCTGGAGCCATTGGAGAGAAGCACAAGATAACATGCAGATTTTCTCTGATCTGGAATACACGCACAAGAAAAGTAGGTGCACGCAGATGGGGGAAACAATCGGTCGGCGTTAGTTGTGACGCAATTTAGGGTCAAGGGTACTGGTGGAACCGCATTCTCAAAGGTATTCCGGCATCCAATGCTTCTATTTCGTACTTCAATGTCATACGAAGTGAGCACTTGGGGCATCCCAAACAATACTGCAGTATGTCACGTCTGGGTTCTCAGCGAACCAACCAGTTCAAGGCTCTCACTTGTTGGATGAAGTGGTCCCAGCACGCAGAAGGTTCAGGGGCGACCCCTTTAGCCTTGACCACTTCGACCAAGCTCTCTGAAATTGCAAGTTGTTCGTCCTTCGTATAAAGATCAGGAACATGCCCGGAACTGAGCAAATCATTCAGATATACCTGTGGATGAGAGTGCCCGAGCGGAGTGAATCAGTCCTCGGCGAATGGGAATCGACACCTGTCTTCAACTTGCACAGGTAAGGATCCCCCATCAACAAATTTGGCCAAGCCCGAGGACATATAGCAAGCGATCGCATTACACACCAACGACCGAGTGACTTGAAAACATATCCCACCCGCTCACATTTGGCGGATAAACCCAAGCGTCAAAAGTCTCACCAAGAAACGCTCCTGAACAATTTGGTTATCCGTGAAGAGGAAGCCAACTCCTTGCCCTTTCACTCCTGCTTTCGTGAACATGGCCTGCGGATACGTGATTGAAGGCAGCGTCGAAAAAGTCTGGCCTATGCTTTAATCGGCTTGAAAAAGTGACAGGGGAAGGAAATCTATCAGGCACGAAGCCCACGGAATGGAAACATCTACAGCATGCTTGTTACCACCTAATGCAACTGATGACTGATTACAGCTGGTGAGCTTGCCCTACCTGCAGGTCGGCCTTGAAGTCGTTGAGGCTGTAGCTCTTGCTTATGACCACGGTCATAGGGGCGAGCTCCGCCATGAACACGGCCAACTTGGCCAGAGATTGTTTACCGCTTCCTCCGACACCGATCAACATGGCATGTCCGCCAGCTTGTTGTAAGACGCGGCTCACGCGAGCGACGTGCAGGCATGCCTTTGTACAGTGGGGACGTGGACCACACGGATTGAGGTAGTCTGAGAGTGTTTGTACTCTTGACGCTAGTATCTCCACTCATTGCTTCATTGCGGTACGATTCCGCCCTCTCCGATCCTCGGTCAACATCGAATAGTGTACACTGGGGATTCCCTGGGTGGAATAATATCGCCTCAAACACCTCGCCACTTTTAAGTCCACACCACTATCGTACCTCATCGAAAAGAACCAAATCCATCACAGCGTTCGCTGCATTGTACTCCGCCAGGGCGGCGTCCAGCGTTTCTCTGATTCACAAGGGAAGCAAGTGAGTGCCCCGCGCGGGTTAATTGTCGATGTCACCACTTTGTTCAACCATCCCTAGAGACCATTACGATATAAATATGCTGCTTATCAACGAGCCAGTCCTCTCATTGCAGGAACATTCTTTGGGGAGGATATTTACGTACTTCGAGACAGCCCGATAACGGCACCGATACGCCAGGTTCAACAAAAAGAAACATCACCTTAAGGTATCAACGGACTCCACTTGTGAATACTCTCCCTCGGCTGAAAAGTTAAAAATGAGCGGCTGTCCAGATCCGCCTGCGTTACTCATTGTGGATGGTTCCATGAAGAAACGTGTGCAGTTGTACTGCGGGAAAGCCTTTTTAGCCTGAGAGGACATGATGCTCCGGAACTTGTCAATGTCTCGTCGGCACACCTGATGTCAAATGCATGGACCAAACAAGAACCAGACGTTAACGTGCGCATCATCTTTCTCACCGAACATGCTGGCAGGGCTGTGTGGTGAATACAGAATACAACGCGTTTTCATACGGTTAGGTTCAACATCTTCGACGATCCATGTCCGGCTTCTGGTAATTGGAGAGCTTCTACTCGTACGCTCCAGACATTTTTCAACGGGCGCGTTACTCACCAACCGGTCACCATACACACGTTCACTTTCGTGTAACCAAAGGTGAACCAGCTGCTCGCCATGCACAAAGTTCTTGGGGTGTGCCTTGAGTAGACCCTCGAACACATTGGTGAGATGTCGCATGTTGAACTCGTAGTGGAAGTTCGCCGCTGTTTTGCGGAAATTATCGCTAACCTGAGATGTGGGGCAAGATTGGTCGTCGAGTGAGCGGAAGCACTCCGCACGAAAACGGAACCCGGCAGACAACGGCATCAAGAGCTACCGGGAAAAATAGTGGAATTTCTGCAAGACCGTGGTTTGATTTGAGATAACACGCCGGTTTGGTCAACTCGGTGGAATGCACGAGTTACGTCACAACCCAGTTGATTGTTGGTTACGGATGACTCTCACCTCCTTGTGAACACTCAGAGCACCCTTGATCAGGCTGGCGCAAACTTGCACGACACCGACTTGGAACCGTTTGCCTTGCTTCTCTTGCCCGAGATGTCCTTCCAAAAAGGTCTCGAAAATAGCCAGGAGGGAGGTCGGGCTTGGCATGCCAATGGCAAACACCAAGAAGTGCCGTTGCAGGCGAGGGTTGATCTGTAAGCATGAAGCAGCATCGAATCAGTAAAATCCTGGCATTTACTATGCTGAATCGTTGCCATGGTGTGCCGCGTTTCTCTGCCCCACATCAATATCTGAACGGCGATCAGCGCTCGTGCTCACCTGGAAGCTACCTGCTGTTGGATTCATTGCGGCCACGTACTGGCAATCACTGATGTTTTGCACAACAAGCTTGGATGCTGCGTACCTGAGATTGGATGGAACGGCATTCGTTACACGAGTGAGTTGTGCGGGTAAAAAGTGTGCCAACGGGAAAATCAAGCGTTGCGATACCAGTCTACCACCCATGGCAATACTCACCAAAAACAATTTTGGTTCTTGATTGTTTGCTTTAAAATGACTGCTCGATATGAATCCGAAAACACTCCAGCACACTCTCACCAGTGTCCGTAGTCAATGTGCTGCCGGATGAGAGCAATAGCCGATTGAGTATTGTACGCGTCGAGAGCTGGCAGGTTCAAATCGTCCACGAAAAAAAACATCTTGGATGATCCTGGAGGTCCGTAGTTGCTCCCGGATTTTTTCTGTAGAACGGCTGTCATACTAGACTGCAAAACGGAAGCACTGCAGGATGAACGCAAAATATGTAGGGGTGGGTACATTTAGCTCTCCGGATTACATATCGCTTCTACCGAGCTCCAGGGGGAGTGCAAAGGGTGTTCGGAAGGATTATGCCCTAGGGTCCCAAAAGTAAGCAAGAAGCACTGCCAGACTCCCCGGCGAGTTTGAGCAGGTAACAGTTCATTCTCTGCATATCCAACCGTTCGAAGCCATCAGGTGGGACAAGGTAAGCGTAGTTCCCAAAACCCACTCGTCGTATGGGACCACATCTGACGAGCGCTTCCCCTGCGCGGTTTCATGTACAAAATACCTTGTGTAAAAGTTCATGTTGACCTTAGCCATCATGTAATCCGCTCCAGGTTTTCCCATCAAGCTTCTCAGCGCGCCCATGACTAGTTGGGTCTTCCCGGTTCCTGCAGGACCAACGAGCATCACCGCCTTGCCCATGGACATACGTTGCTCCATCCAAAACGTCGCCGAAGCTGTCTCTGCTGTTGGTACCGTTACCTAAGCGGTGAGCGCAAAAGCCAGCAATGGGCGAACGAACGGGTGTCGGCACAGCTATATATTTTTGCGCATATACTGGAGCAAGTAGGGCATGTGTGTACCTTCGTCCCAACATGTCTCTCCAGAACGCGCGTGAAGGTAAGAGGAGCTTCAAACCATCAGCATGGTACCCAGGGAGCTGGAGCGCGTTTCCTCACCTCGTTCATCTTCATCTTGCTCGAGTTGAAGTCGATTACTTTAAAAATCTTGTGTTTCGTCCACGGCTCAAAGCAACACTCGCAGTTCTCAACAGACAAGAAGTAGTCGAAGATAGTGTCTCGGGATGGTAATTTGACCGCTTTATTGAATTCCCGTCGCCACCTGTTGGTTGGCATCCCACGGCAGACGAGTTTGCGTTCAGGAGGAATACAGCTAGACATCCGAATGTTAGCATTGCGCCATGTGCCAAAAGCCCTACAACGCAACGTCAACACAAGTATTATTGGACGTTTCGTTCTTAAGCGGCTGGCCTATGAAGACTCCAGACGAAACCGTTGAGTGCCACTCACCAGTCAGAAAACGTCTTGCGGTAGTCGACTCCATCATCTCCGACCCCCAGAGTCGAACCAAAGGCCCAGATTGTGCAGAAAACAAAGGAATGCTCCACGATAGACCCATCGGATAGCATACTGTTCTTGAGAAATCCCTCCAGAAGCTGTCAAAAACGACGGGAATAAAGAATGCTGGCTAAGATTAGTAGGAAGGCCATGTCGAAAGGAATGCGAGGGCTACGGGCTACACTGCTATTCGCTACAGTATTTGGCCTCGGACGCTCGAGGGCAAACAGGTTCATGTTGATGCAGTTGTAAGGGACTCTCCGGGTGTATTGAGAGCGTTGTTGTCTTCAACTCTTCACGATGAGGTACGATCCTGGAGGTACGTCTTTAACCACGCACCCACCTGCAACAGGGCTGAAACAGCGGTTGTAGGCTCGCACTCCACGCTGGTCTTCAGTTGGGTGGACAGAAGCTGCACCGCTCTTGGGACGTACAACTCAAATAACCCAGACAACTGAGACTTGACTTCCTCGCTGTAACCCGAACCAGTTACCCAGCTCGCGATGAGAGAGTGCCACTGTTGCCCCTCGACTGTTGAAATGTACAAAATCCCGGCGCGGCTCACGGTCGCCGGTGTGGCATATTTGAGGTCCCGGATTTCGAAAATCATTCGCATGTTGGCTCGAAGTGGGATACGTTCGTTGGAGGCCAGAGTAAGCACCTAGAAGGAGATGGGAAGAGTTCGATGAGACTGATGTCTTGCTGAAGTAGACACGGTCGGCAAGAAATTGCCTTGAGAAATCAACGCTGAACTGTCACTACGAAACGCTAGGCCAAATGTTTCCACAAATCTTTCCTTCAGAAGTAATGATTAATTGTCAAGTAGGACGCGGGTGCTACCATACTTGAAATCGCAGCTGAACAAAAAAATCATTCTGCTTGGCACGCGTCAGCGAAGATTTTCACCTTGTTGTCGTCCATCACGGAATTCATGCTTTCGATCCAATTCGCGTCGAGATCCCCGTCGAGCACTATCCACTTCGGTGCCTCGTTGGGAATGGCTCCGAGGTCTCTCATAACTGCGCTCAGTACCCCATCCTTCCATTCTCTTGTAGCCAAGGAAATGTGGCCGTAGAGTTCTTCCGTGGGCATGGTCTTGGGGTTGATGTCAACGTCCTGGGGAGTGGGTCAGGTTCGTTTTGTACATGTGGTAGGCGGTGCAATGGATACATTCAATGAAAACGGCGAGCGGAGCCCAACACGTTCATATGTGGCGCACCTTGACCTTGTTGCTGGGGTCCATACGGCTTCGGGCTTCCTTAAGCACCTTCCAGCAGCTGCTTTTACCAGCACCAGCTTGGCCTACGACGAAGTTGCAGTGCCGAATTGCCAAAAGTTCATCCAGTTGCGATATCTGGGAGGAAAGAGGAAAGTAGTGGTTACCGTGCTTGCGGCAGCAGTTATCTCAATGTGATGTGAATCATGCATCATGTAACAAGCTCGTCACAAAAAGATACTTGGTAGTAGTAAATACTTATGGCTGAGCAGACCCCGTGCTCTCTTGATTATTGACTGAGAGTGGCGCTCGGTGTTTTCGCTCGTTTCCATTCGCTTCATGAAGATAAAGAACACACTGAACCAACTCACTTTGAGGACGAACGCTTCGTCGGGCCACAAGTTCATGTCTTCACACACTTCTCGAACGCACGCGTTGAGACTGTCGTTGACAAGCCTCGGAGGGTTGATAGACGGGAACAGATCGTTGAGGAGACCGAAGAACACAGCCTGCAAAAGGAGGAAGAAACGGTGCAATACGGTGTCATGCACACTGCAAAGAGAGGTAGTGGCTCTCAGAAAGTACAATGCAGCCAACCAACATTTGCTACTTAAAGCGGTGTCCTCGGGGCCATCAGCGCGGCACAGCCTTGGGGGTTAGTGAGGGGCGCGCGACAGGAAGCAAACAAGTCGCAAGGTCGTCAAGCTGCGTGTACGCACACCTCGTCACTATGAACAATTTTGGGCGTATTGAAGTCTCGTAGGGCCCGCATGAGGAGTGAGTCTTCTGGGAGGTCTGGTTCCGCGCGCTTGAGCTTCCCTGCAACCACCAGCACCGACTTCACTGCTCGCATCCCCCAATCGTAGTGATCCTGGTCGTAAGAGGCAATGAGGGAGCTGAGAATAGCGAAAGTGTCGAAAACAGCACGTGCAGTCAAGCATCAATCACGATATGCAAGATTTGCGGGAACAAGAAACACGTATCTGTGAGAACCGTAAAACCGGTTGGATCGTGTCCACTTTACCTGCTTGCTGAGTAACTCCTGCAGAAGCGAGTAAAGGCCATAAAACTTGGAGGCAAGTGTCTTCGCTTGCACGAACCCCTCCGCCATCAGCATGTTTTCGCAGATGAGAACCAGGTCAGGAACCATGACCGTGATAGGTCGGAACAACACCTTGAATATGCACGTAGAATCGTGGTGGCGGTGCGATAATTGTCATGACAGCATTAAATAGCAAACTTGACGGCATCAAGCAATTAGCACTGTACTGTGAAGAAAGGGTCTTGGGGGCCAAAGACGTGGTGCACTGACTAGACATACGTGTGATATGCTCGGCGGTATGGGTCGACTCAATCCTTAAGGTCACCTTGAGCCCCTCCGGTAGTTCCGAACGCCCGAGATAGCCCGGGTTCATTGTAATGAAAACCCCACAACCAGGGTCCAAGCTAACACGATCGTCTTCGATCACGATAGACGGTGGTGAGTGATCGTCCCTGTTTCTGTCGGCGCAAGCCACTGCGTACGCCTTCAAGCCGTCGGTGACCGCCTTGAATTGCAAGGAACATACGGAGAGCACCTCCGGTACAAGGCGATTGAATTCGTCGAAGCATCCCCAGGCCCCGGAGGATGCCAAGCCTGGAGAGTGAGCGATGGAAACGTGCTAGGGAATATATAGATCGTGTCGTTTTCCTGGCTCAGTCGATTGAGAATCTTCTGTTAGCGATGGGCCAAAGGGCCCGATAGCGCGTAATGCGGGACAGGGTAGGGTCCGACTGTAGCAACCGTAACGACCAACTTGGTCTATGACGAGAAAAGAACCACGGGCGAGAAGTTGTTCAAGTGAGCCTAGGGAATTATTGTCACAGGCCAACTACCATCGCTCGTGCAGTGGAAGGGGTCGAGGTGCGCATACCTTTGAAAATATCGCCGAGACTCTGATAATCCATCTCAGGCGAGCAGTTGAACACATAGCAACAATTTCCGAGACCAGCGGCAAGGTCCTTCGTCGTTTCTGTTTTACCCGTGCCAGCCGGGCCAGCAGGGGCACATCCCATCTTCAGGTGTAGCGCCTTTATTTAACAGCCAGTCGGTAAAGAAGTCAGCTGAAAATTCGGGACCATGGTTGGGAATAAAACGAAGCTCTCCTTCTTTCATATCTGCAGCAAGGCTGAAAACTCGAAAACAAATGAAACTTGTGCCTCTCGTCACGCAGGTCTTCCGCGGCACCACAAGAGGATATTGACGAAGCCGTCGTCATCGTCTGTCTTTCTATCACGCGAGGTCATAATTGCGTGCTTTGCAAACTGTGACCTACCGACCCTCACCTGCGTGGCCGTTACGTAAATTCTATCTGTCAAGGGTGTGATCACGAGACGAGGTCCGTTCCCGAGAAACTCGAAGCCGTACTCAAATGAAGCATCTAGTATGTCGATCGTCGCCAAAGGGAGTTTGGAGTCCCTTGGGTGGCCTGACTCTCCCTTGTAGCGCTGCTTAAGCTGTGAAGCCCATTGAAAGTCACCCTAAAGAGTCAAGAGGGTGTGTAGAGGAAGCGTGCGAGTTTGTACGGGAAAAGCCGAAAAAACGGTGGTCACTTTCCCCCCGTCAATCGTGAGTACAACCAAGTACATGCAGCAACAACAAGACACCGCCCACCTTGTCGGTGACATTCTCTCGAATCAACATGAGCACAATGTCGCGAGCATGAGCGTCCACGGTGATGAGGCTCATGATGCGTTGCCGGTCGTCCCGCTTCAATTCTGATCTCGTCAACTCGATGAGCTGGTTGAGCTGATTCACCTGTTATAGTCAGTCAGAGTGGCGGACCACCCGTAGAGAAAAGCATGACAATCACGGGGTGCTTTCCTGAACCCTCCAGAACTGTGGGCCGAGACTTCGTCCGTTCATGAACTTCACAACCCTGATGATTGACAAGTGTGCCGGTGGTTTGCTAAACCCAAGGTTGGTTTCGATCTCGACTTGCCGTTTCGGCACACGCTTACTTGAAGGTCATGATATCCGGTAAGAGCGGAGTTGTCTCCCGTTTGGACCCGATCCAATGTAGCTTCCACTTCAAAGACGTAGTTGATGCCGGCCACGAGAAGAGCAATCTGCGGGTGGATGCGATCAGGCCGTGCACGAGTCCACGATGGCACTTCCACCTCAAGCAGTGTGAAGAGCAGCATCTGTCCGTGGCACATGATTCTTGCGCGCAAGGCGCCTTCAAGCACAGAGTAAGCCGTGTGGGCTGCTACGCGTAAACTTTATCAAACCTACGCCGATCGTCTTCAAAGCCGGCATCACATTTGTTAACCTGTGCAGGGTTGGTCTTGTTGACCGAACCGGGTGGATCAGCATCCATGAGCCATTCCACCCGCGCCTGATTTGGGTAACGATTAAGCGACCGCTTGAGGGTGTTTCCCAAGGTCTTCCGCTGGCAGTTCAAAACTGCTTGGAGGTAATTTTCAACCTGGCAAGATGGCGCGGCGTTGGTGTTGATGAAGTGTGATTCGCCTGTGGTATAGTATGCTGTCATATCAGCGTGTACTATTAAACGCCGACCAAGTGATTCTCCTGACGTGCCTAATTTAAGGAACAGGTGGACATTTTCGCCGGAAACTCAGTGATGTGCTAAATATACCCTTGTCGTCGTGTTTCATTCACCTTGCCCTCCAGGAGAACGGCGGGCTCGAAGTCAATAATCTCGTCTCCAACCCTCGCCTCAAAGCGAATAGCGCGCGGGCGATCGCTAACGTTGCCGGGAACGCTCTCGAGCACAAGGGTTCTTGTTGAGAGCATGAGTTTGTTGACGTGCCGCATGATTTTGCTGGGCTGGTTCCCGTTAGAGAGAATGTCCAGTAGGTCCGCCTCGCTCGTGAAGTGGAAGCGAGGGAATAGCCGCTTCTTCCCGCTGTGTATGAGGAGAAGCACGTGCTGTTGGCAGTTGTGATACGCGCGTTGCGTTCGGATCCACATGTGCCTTGTCCATACAAATGGGAATACGCAGTCCGCTTGCTATCGCTCCCCCGGTACCTGGTGCACCGCCCGAACCAGCATTCACACTACCACCTCGCTTAGAAGCTGCGAAGTGCACTATTATATATATAGTTAGAGTTTGATGACAAAGATTACCACCTTACCTGAGGTACTCGCTGAGGGACTTCTTGCACTTTTCAAGCTCCACCACAACGATCTCAAGTTTCGGGACGAGGCCCGGTTTATTACAGGCAGCCTTCACCTGCGAGGTTGCGACCCATCATGGGCGTGATTGCCTGGGCAACATAGTCATTGGCGATGGGAAGAGTTGCAACTCTGCTGTGTACGCTTATTGAGATCGTCCTTCATCTCTTCTGACACACCAATCTTTTTTTCTCGATTGTACTCTTCAATCCGGCGTCTTTTCCCTCTTCGAGCCTCCCAGAAATTGAAGGCATTTGTTTAAGCTGGGCCACTGTGCGGGATTGTCGCCTATTGATGATGCGTTCCATGGTATAAATACATATTTCTTCACCTTCTTGACTTTCCATAGCTCCATGAGCGTTGCCTTCACTTCTCCATCGATCTTTTCGAATCGCTTGGTGTCCAGTGGCAGTTCTTTCTTGACCTCATCGGAATGGATAAACAATGGCTCCAGGTACCTCCACATTTGCTGCGTGGCGACGGAGGCAAGCGACGGGGGGGGGGGTACTCATAGTCGTGCATGCCGTAGTCGTTAGACCATTGACCTCGCATCCCTACAAAGCCGGGACGGAGCACGCCGGGTTCTCACCGGACCAGGCTCTCACATCACCAAGCGCGAAGCGCCGTGAGATATTCGGCGAGTCGCATGAAGGGTGCGCTGCATCCTGCTAAGGGTGTTCGGCATCTTGTGCTTACTTCCTTGCGTACGGATGACAGCTGCGTATGAATTACTTTATTTTCTGGTGCTTTCACTTCCGGAGACAGTTACAAGCACTGTGTAACTGCCTCGAGGATGCTTGACCATTTTAACACAACGTGGTGCGATCATCCCCCTTGCGCGGAGTGAGGGTTCTCGACCCCGCACAACATGTTCTACTCGACCACCATCATGGTTACCGCCAAAAAAAGCAGAGGTAAGAAAAAACACAGTAACCTGGTTGCCGAGTTCACGAAGTGAATTGGCTTGTTTTACAACGTCGTTGCCAAGCGACGAAAACCCATCCCCGATGGCAAACGCCGAGGGGGACGGCTTGTTTTACAACGTCGTTGCCAAGCGACGAAAACCCATCCCCGATGGCAAACGCTGGAGGGGGGGGTATGGTAAATGAAAAAATTGGAATGAACTGAAGACGCTCAGAGGAGTGGTCTACGACAATAGAAATTACGATCGATCAGCAGATCTAACTTCTCCACAGATCTGTGCAACTGATTGGACCACAGGCCCAATCACAAGCACACCCTAGCGGGTTCGACTTCCAAGTTTTTGGGGCTTTCTTACCGTCGTTTAGGGTTGGTTTCCTGTTAGACTTGGATTTTTTTTTGCTTCGCGAGTGTCGGGCGGTTACCCGGGCCAATGGCTTGTATTGCTTGTCATCCTTTCAAGATAGATTGTGACCACGGAAGCTTATATATTTTCCTCGGAAGAGTAGCTAAGAATAGAGGCTCTAGCAAAAATTACGGTGATGGCAACAACACCGACAACACTGGATTGCACAAGTACGGAGAGGCATCCAGAAGGTACGGCATGATGTGCGACTGTTTGGGGTACTTGGATACAAGATCCGATCTAGAGAGTACCTGTGTGGCGGGGGTATGCTATTGGGGTTCCAAGTACGGGGCTCCTCGAGAGAGAACACGCACATGTGTTAAGTGTCTGTCTGAGACTGTGTATTGTGCTGGAAGGAGCGTGGGTGGGTGATAATCAAGATTTTTATCATCCGCATCGGTCCTGGGTTGACATAGTCCCCAAATCTATTCATACTACCGTGGGTAGGCACGGTAGCCTCCGTGGGGAGGCACGGAGGCCTCAAACAGCGACCGAGCGGCGTGGTGTATGGCACCACATTCCATGCCAGCTTCGGTATGGGATGTGGTCCAAAACACCGCGCCGCTCGGCCACAGTTCAGCTTGTCGTGGGAACGGTGCTTCTGTATCACTCTTTTTTGTGTTTCGTGTGAGTCAGCTCGGTACAACTCATCCTTTTTTACTGTGCATATGATGCACGAAACGGGGGCAAGAACGACAGGAGGTAAACAATGCTCCGCTGCATCAACCGGTAACGAAAGGCAGCGCTTCGCGTTGTGTATCCCTTGAGAACCATGATCAGCCCTTCTCACCTGAATGCCGTTGAGCATGGTCATCACATCGCTGACGAAAGCGAGCGAGCGCTGCCATTCCAGACTTTCCTTCTTGAAGTAGGTGTAACGGGATGCCACCATAGATTGAGAAATCAACATGTCCGATTCCAGCGTCTGCATACCCAAAAGAGGAATAGAAACCATTTCGCTTTAGCATAGTGTAGAGTCGTGCAGATGCTCCTACTACGCATAACAACAGTCCCTGATGTTAATAATGGCGGAGTCAACAACTCAACCCAATGTGTTTAGTCTCCTGGAAATTGACCAACTCCCGCCGTTTACCTCGAGATCTTCCTCCGTCATGCTGATCAGAGGAGCGTCTGTTTCAGTGGTAGTCGTTGCCGAGAACTCAATGCGATCCCAGGTTGACTGAAGTACCATAAGAGAGGCCTCCTGGTGGGCCTCCTTGATGGCTTTTTCGGCGATGGATTCTACCTCGGCAGCCATCGAGACCAGATCGAGACTCATTAAATCCTGTTGGGTGTGCGGAAGAGCCGGGCAGTGGACGAGTCAGTCGGATGGTTAATCACAATGAAATGATGTGTGTGGGGGGCTTGCGCGGAACCTAAAGCAAATCCCTCCGCCACTAATATAACTTTTTTGTTGTGAAGAAAACAAGCAGCTCTTGGGTGATTAGCCGGAGAGAGACGCGAGGATCGTTATCCTGTGTCGATGATTTCTTAAAGCTTCGAGTACAACCTCCATCGGAAGCTCACCTCCAGGCGAAGACGTCCTTCCACGGCTTGGACAGAAAAGCCAGGAAACTCCGCCTTGCTTGCACTGATGAGCTCTTCCCAATGACGGCGAGATAACTTGGACCGCTTTAAGCTTCCGACTAGAGGACACACGGACATGAAATTTTTCACGTGTTCCAGCAGGCCCTGATACGCGTCGGTGTCGTGCAGGCTCTTTGGGAGTTTCTTGACCTGCCGCGGCACAAGGCGAGGAATGACCACATCAAACGAAGTTTGCGTGTAACATCGAGCCGTTCTTGGCTATATATGGCGTTACTCCGTCAAGCATACACTTGAGCACATGTCTCGTACCTTCGACATCAGTGCCAATGCAGTGTCCTCGAACCCTTCCGGAATAAGATCGTTCCACACGATCGCCTCGGAGAATTTAATCGTGTCGATGCACGTGCGAGCTTCTTGCCATAGGAGTGTGAACGATTCAAATAGCTCCCCGGTCTGTTGGACGGTGAGATATCGAACAACACCGCTCATTAACAACGGCACAAATGAGGTTAACCTGGCTCGAGTGTTCTTGTTGGAGACAGAAAAAATAACACTCCTTCGGCTCTAGTCTTGGTTAGGGCACGTATCGTGCTTAGGTATCTCTACAAGGGACAACGCGCAGAAAAGTAATCGACGCTTACATTCGCGAGTGATCGAGAGGACTCATACATTTTGCGGACGAGGGAAAAGCTCGTTGCTGCTATCAACCATCCCCAGCACACCTTTCATACTTGTTTATATCTGGGGTATGCAACCACATCGAGAAACGGGCGAGAGGGCCTAGTTGCAACTACACAACCCACCAGACCTGTGAGATGAGCAGACGCGATTTGACCAAGTCATCGGATACCCGAAAGATCTGTGCCAGTGCATCGACCTCCTTCGCCTTTTCTCTCTCAGTCTCGAAGGCCTCGTCAGCAGCCTGGTACGTAAACCAGTACCAAATGTCCCAAAGCGTACAAGGTAGTTGGACGAACGGATAAGCGTAGTTCAACTGTAGTCGTGACGTACTCGTCTAATACTGTGCCCGGAACAATGTGCACGGCAGGCACGAGGTAGTGGTTCCGCAAGTGCCAAGTGAGACACTGCACACCGATGCGCCTGAAGAGGAACACAAGCAGCGAAATTGATGGCGAACCGAGAGAGGAAGAACACATGCTGTAGTTCGAGCTGCCCATGAACATGTCAACATAGCTCGTTTCGGAGGACTCACCCGCAACATGTCCAAGGCGATCTCAGGTCCAGTAGCCCATAACGTGTATTCGCCAACGCTGATCGCGTCGCATCTTGCCTTCAAAACGCTTTCCATTTCCAGCACGTCGGTCTTGAGCTTGGGGGCTTGTGCCTGGCATCGCGAATCGGCATTGATCTACTAATGTCATCGTAGACAACATAACACAACGCAGAACTCCCAGCCAACTGAGCGACCTACTGCAAGAAGAACCCCGAATGTCACTCATCGAGTGCGCACCTCAGCGAGAAAATTAGATGACAGCAGTCCTCTGGCAACATCCCAACGCGATGCCAAAATAAACTTGAAGAAACGACATGGGCAACAACCATGATGTGATTTCTGACACTACCTTGAGAAGAGGGCCCAGTGCTAATTCCACATCAGGCACGATCTGCTTGAGGTCAGCCATCAAAGACGACGCCCGGCTCGCTTGTACCTCAATTTCCGACACCTTGTACGAATCGACGCAATTGCAGAGGGAAGGGGATAAGCAAAGCTGTCTTTTCGACAGCGCCTTGTATTTTCCTGCCAGTACACATCGTATTCCATCTAACGCTCAGCGGGGCTACAGTTGTTTGGATCAAGAAGGTCAGGTCGGTCACAGCACCTGTATCTCTTCCTTCCGTAGATGCGCCAACACTGCAAGGCTCCTGTCCATGAGTAACTGCATTCCTTCGTTTCTTTCGTGGAAGAGAATAAGTTGGCGTTGGACAGAAGCGACGACGTCGAAGACCTCACTGTTATCCGTCCCCGTGGCAATTTTCCGCTTGATCCCCTCTTTTGCCTGAGAAGAATTCCAAAAGTGCAAATTGACAAATACCCATAGCGGGGAGGGGCGCGTTGCAGCACGTGAGAAGCACGACCACAGCACAGATCACCATACCTCTAGCGAATGCCATAGACTATGTGAAAAGCACAACGAAGAAATATGAACTAATTGGCGTGAAACGCACACTTGTCCCGTGCCGAAACTTGCATCAGGAGTGTGCAAGACGAAAAAATGACATACAGTTCTATCGTCTCAACATTCGCCGGCCTCGTGGTAAGCACGGCAGCTTGACCAGAAACCATGAAACGTTACATGTCCGAGTTGAGCTGCGAGAAAACAGGCGACTAACCTTCGTTGCGAACTGTAAGAGCGACTTAATGTCGGCCGTTGTTTCCTTGATCATGGCTGGTCCCGACATGGTGTTGTTTTCCGCCGGTTGGCCCTTCTGGAATCTGGCAGTAACAGGAGACCCCCTCACCGGCCCTGCCACTCCGCCGAACGTCCCCTGAAAGTCGACAGATATTTCGTACTCGCCCGGAGCAGGCGGCACCCAGCTGATGACGTATGTGCCGTCTTTGCAGTCTTCGG